CTGGATGTGAAGCTGGAACCAGATTGTTTCAGCCTGCAACAGTCCTTGTGCCTTCCACCAGCTTGCACCCAGCTCCTTGGCAGCTTGAACTTGGCTCCCTGACCCGGACCACAGTTGTTCTGAGTTCTGAGCTCTGCTGGTCCCGCTCTAAGATGGCTACTGGCCAATTGCCCTCTCCTTGGGGAATTCTGAACTCAAATAACTTACCAGCCATGACAGTGCACTATGTCAGCTGCTCTGTTCTCCTGGTGCATTTTTTTGTGGAAGCCTCTGGGATTACCAGTGGACACCATGCATTTGTAGGTTGAAACTGCCCCTGCCATGCAGTGAGTCTGGGATCAGGGAGAAAGCACCATCTGCCACCTTCTTCTTCATTAAAATCTCTCCCTTTGCTCTCCCTGTGGGCTTCAACTCACCTCAGATCCTCCCTTGGTTCTGGACCCACTTTCCTCTTTCTTCTCTTCCTCACATTGCTATATTCCAGTGTCTGGTTAGCAAATCTCAGAGAGGCTTTTTCTCTGGTGCTCACCACTCTTCATTTCAGGGCAAGCTTCACTGTCTGCACACAGTGCAGTTGAACAGAAACCAGGTTCAGAAGAATAACATGCTTAGTATTTAATGCTCTTCATTTGCTATCCTGAAATTCTTCATGAGCTTACCTTTGATTTGTATTTCCTAATTGAAGTCTGGTGGGAAAACAGAGCATTGTTTGGGCTTAATGCCTTGATTTGAGCAGGTTCCTGCCCTAACTATCACCTCCCTAAGATAGAGTCTGGGTCAACCACTCCACATTCCTTGGAAACTCATCTGTCTTTCACTCCCACTATGTCATAGCCACTGGCATCAGAGTTGAGCAGTTCTCCCTGATACTGAAAAAGCACCATGTTTCTATAACTCTTCAGCTTTCACTAATGACTTCTTTTCCCAAAGGTAGAAATATTTATCCAAATTTTCTAAGTATGCTGGTAACTAAAGATTAAGAATATGTATCATCAGCCATTTCAAGTTAGCAGCTGAAGTAACTTAAGTATCTCTAAAAGATAAAAAGAAAAAAATAGAGTCTCCCAACAGAAATCTTGGAAAGAACTTTAGATTGCGACTAGAAGTAAGGGTTGCCAGAGACCAATCCAACATCACTAGCCCATTCTAACACAGAAATTAGACAAAGTAATTTTCAAAACCAACTCTCCACCTACCATTGAATGAATTCTTTTCATCAGTATACATGAATTTTTCACTGATTTTGATTAAACTGTGCATACTTTAGTTCTTAATTTATCTTTTTATAATAACTATTTTTTGTATTGGTGAACATCTGCCTGATATTATAGATGAGAATATCTGCATTTTAACACTACTTGTTATGATAGTAATTTTCTTTATGTCTGAGATCTTTGTCAATAGCAGTAACTCTTCCTAATTTTGAAAGTCAAAATTTAAATTAGCACAGCAAATTATACATCAAACTTTCAGAAAGGTAAAAATTCTCTTATCTTTAAAAGACTAGGGGAGAAATAGTAGCCTTACAAAATTAGTAATCTTAAAGTATCTTAATGTACTTTATGTTAACTGCATCTTTACATTTATTATTATACTAAGGGTGATAATGAAATTCTCCTGCCGTAGATAATGAGAATTGTGGGAAGTTAGCATATTTGTCTGTGTGCTCATATAATTATGGTAACTGAGGCGGCATATGCATCAACATGGTTTTGGAGCTATGAAGTCTTTCTTTATACTAATATCTGTCTTTTAATCATTTTTAAGAAGCAGTTAATGTCAGTGATACTGAAAATGTCCTGGGGACAATGAAAATAACTGTCACAGATAAGGAAGATGTAGAGCTGGTTAAAAGTCTACAACTTAATGGTAAGCATTTAAAATATTAATATGATCTTGAAGGCTGTAGCATTTTTATTTTGTTTATGAGAATGTCCATAAACTTTCTAAGATAAAAGAAAAGAAAAATACTTTCAAAAATTATTCAGAATCTATTATCTCAGGCTAATATAATTCATATATACTTAAATATGCACAAATACACTGATCGATACACTGATAGAAAGAACCTAAAGTCTAATTTGTTAACATGAAATCCTTGGGGGCTTGTGACTGTACCTGTAGCCCGAGAAGGAAGGAGAGAAAAAGATTTAAATAAAAAAAAACACTAGAATGAACACGAATAGCCATTTATAATATGATCCAAATGTATTTTACTTATGTAAACTTATATAAGTCAAATATTATAAATAATTTTTAAAGAAAATGAATGATTTAATTTCACCTTAAAAGAATTCTAGTGGTAGAATGTCAATTGTTAAAGCTGGGAATCTATGGGACTTCACACTCTGCTTTTTTATACATTTGAAATGTTTCATAATGAAAACAAGAACAGATTTTTTGTTGTTTT